TTAAGGCACTGTCAGCAGCATACTCTAAGTCAAGAAGTCCTTCTCTTTGGAGCAGATCAATACCTACAAATTCGTGTCCTGTGAACGCGATTTCCATTACTTCTGCAAAGAGGCAATTTAAAGAAGAAAGGTGATAGAGATCATCCTTGTCTCACACCGTTGAGATATTAAAGGGTGACGACAGCTTGTCCTAAGCTCTTACTCTGCCTGAGCTACGCGCTTATAATGCTCAGATAATATTTACATGTGTCTCAGGTACACCTTTACTGAGTAGACAGTCCCAAGGTGCAAGTCTATTCACCAAATCGAATGCAGCTTTGATATCAAGAAACATGACAACGGTGGGCCCGCCAATATAAGTGACTCTACTCTAACAAATGACGCAAGGTGAAGATGTGGTCAATACAGCAACGACCTCGATGAAATCCAGCTTGCTGTTCACGAAGCTGGCTTTAACGAGTGCCTGTCAATATTTGAAGGATGACGAAGGCAAGCAATTTGGAGGCGATTGAAGTCAAATTGATTCCTCTATGACTGCCGCATTCCGCGCGGGAGCCTCCCTGGAGAACTGGGACAATGACTGAGCGGCTCCAGTCGGTTGAGGCGGTTCCTTTATCCCACAATTTGACTAATAACTCAGGCCAATCATCCACAAGATCAGGTCTCCAGAATTTGAAGAGGGCTGGAAGAAGATCAGCTGGTCCCGCAGCTTTATTTCACTTCAAAAGTCCGATCTCAAGTTCGTCTTCTGAGCGAGAGAGTGGATCAAAAATGGGCAGCCCAGGAAGCCGGGCGATCAATCGCCGGCGAAAAATAAACAATTCCGGCCGATAAAATTGCATTTCAAGCGCTCAGCCCAACACTTTAAGCATTTTGACAAGTTGTGGATAAGTTATGGATAGGATGTTCACTCTCCTCACAAAGTTTTTAACCAACACCGGGTCTCCTTCTGCCCGATTCCCGGATCAGAGGGTGATTACCAAGGGCAGCGGCAAATTCCAACTCTGATGCACGATAAGACCACCAGGATGCGCGGTCTCTCTTCAGGGTAGCACCCATCGCAGTGGGGCTGGACCTTAGTGTGGTGCGATGTATTGCATTCCTCAGAGATCCATTGAGCTATGCTGTGTGGTGCTTTCATTTGCACCTTCACAGCCACTCATACCAGATTGGTCAATGGTTAGAGGCCAGACAAACTCAGCCTCCTGGTCCTCCAGGTTGTGAGTTGGAATGAGGGTGGCTCCTTATTCCTTAATACGGACTCCTTGTAGTCAAGTGCCAAACCCGCTGCCATGCGGCCAGGCTTTTGAAACAAAGGCTTTGGTTGAGAACTCTAATCGTCCTTCTCTCTAGGCCTGGGCAACCTGACAGTATCCTTTCCCACGCAATACAATGAAACTTTTCTCAAACAATTTTCTGATGCTCTGGCCACCGCAGAGGATAATCAACGGTGCCCTATCTGCTGCATCGAGCGGGGTGGATAAGGATTTAGATGCTACCGCTCAAGCCGTCCCCTCCTCTTATTCCCCCTCTTGCGCTTTTTCACCCTTATCGTCCCGTTCCAGCTTCACTTTTATCCCCTCTGTTTTCAACCCCAATTTCTCGGCCCTCCCCACCTTGCTTCAATAGTCGCTTGTCTTTTAGTTTCAACTCACAGGTGAACGCAAAGCGTCATTCCTGCACTGTCAACAGGCCCATGTCCAACCAAGCGGCTCATTCCAGTTCATCGGCTTCCATTTGGAGCCCTCGATCCTCCTTCAGACTGGCATGCCTCAATGTTCACACACTGCTTCAGGTCAGTCAACTGGCAGCATTTGCCCAGTCATTAGAGAACCTCTCGATCGATGTCTGCTGCTTATCAGAGACCCGCCTGCAAGACTCGAGCTCTCTACTCACTCTGCGATCCCCTTCAGGTGATACTGGCAGCACTTTCTCATTGCGCCTACCCGATGACGATGCAGATTCGCGCACAGGCCAAGCCAGTGTTGGCATTGCCCTGAGTCCCGGGCTGAAGCTGCTCTGTTTGATTGGATTCAAATCAGTAGCCGGATGTACGCGGTCCGATTGGCTGGCGCGTTTAAAGCTTCAAAGTCACGTGGGACTAACCGGTGTCTATTCGCCATCGCTGCCTATGCACCGACAAACCGTATTGATGACTTGGTAAAAGACGACATCTATCGTCAGCTGAACGAACTACTTCGCCACAGAAGAAGCTCGGACACTGTAGTGCTGGCTGGGGATCTGAACGCTCAAGTTGGAAAATTATCCACAGATGAGCTGCATCTGGGCGGCCAACATGGTATAGGATCACGTAATGATAACGGTGAGCGTTTACTTTATTTGTGTGAGGATGCTCGCTTATTTCTTGCGAGCACTAATTTCCGGCACAGCACCCTCCGGAAAGGGTGACTTGGCGCCCACCGGCCTCGAACCAGCCATGGACGCAAATCAAACACATTGCGATAAGTTACCTCTGGAGAGGCTACGTCCAGAACTGTCGCTCGATTTGGAGCACAGGTGTTGATACCGATCATGCACTTGTATGTGCTGACCAGCGGATGCGCTTTGGCGGACGCCCTCGACAATGTTGTGAGCGCAATAACAACGGCAGACTAGTGAAGCCAGCTGTTCTGAACCCCTATCAAATTACGCTGTCATGCGAGTTGGATAAACGCTTACTGGATGCAACTGAAGCTTGCTGGTCTCATATGCAACAGGCCTTACTAGCAGCAGGGAAATCCTCATGTGGTATGTCTAATCGCCAACATGAACATTGGGTCTCTTCACAGTCTCTAGAACTTATAGATGTTTGCCGGCATATTTCGGCTGGAAGCGAACACAGTAAAACTGGCAAAGAGCTCCGGGCAAAACTCCGCGCTAGCCTGAAGAGAGACGTCGAAGCTTGGTGGTCTCATCGTGCGTCAGAGATGGAAATGCCCGCTGCCCTTGGTAACCATCGTAAGTTATTCCGCCTTATACGGGAAACGGGCAGCAGGAGGCCTGGTGTCAGTGGAACTATACGTGACGAGAGTGGACAGCCTATCCACAACTTACCAAAACTCCCAGAACGTTGGGATGAGCACTATGAAATGCAATTTAATCGGTCGGAATTATTAGATTTCTTGCTGACCATTGATCGCCCTGCTCAGTGGGCTGTTCCTTTGGATCCACCCACTCGCTCATAAGTCGAACGTGAGCTCAAACTGTTGAAGTTGAACAAAGACGCGGGACCTGATGACCTTCCTCCAGCCCTTTTCAAATTCGGAGGACCTGCTGTTGTTGATGAATTACACGAGTTACTAGTGAGACTGTGGGAGCAAGAAACTGTCCCAACCGATTTGAGCCGCTCCATCATAGTCCCAATTTTCAAAGGAGGCTCATGATCGGAATGCGGCAGCCATAGAGGAATCAGTCTGATCCCCATCTATACCAAATTGCTTGCCTCTGTCATCCTTCACAGACTGACTGACACATCTGAAAGCCAGAATCGTGATGAGCAAGCTGGAATTCGTCGAGGTCGTTGCTGTATTGACCACATCTTCACCTTGCGTCAGTTGTTGGAGCACCGTCACATATATTGGCGGCCCACCGTTGTCGTGTTCTTCCATATCATAGGTGCATTCGATTCGGTGGATAGACATGCACTTTGGGACTGTCTACTCAGTAAAGGTGTACCTGAGAAATATGTGAATATTATCCGAGCATTGTATGCGCGCAGCTCGAGCAGGTTGACGGCTTACGGCAAGTTGTCGTTGCCCTTTAATATCTCCAGCGGCGTGAGACAAGGATGCATGCTGTCACCTTTCCTCTTCAACTTTGCTGTTGACGAAGTAATGGAAATCGCGTTCACTTGACACGACTTAGAAGGTGTGGAGCTACTCCCACGAGCACGACTTCTTGACTTAGTATGCTGATGATATTTCCTTGATCTGTGACAGCTCACAAACGTGCCAAGCGGCACTGGACAGATTAGCACTAGCTGTCCGTCACTTCGGGCTTTGCTTCGCACCCTCGAAGTGCAAAGCGTTCCTCCAAGATTGGTCTGGACCGCCTCCTACGCTGACCCCTGGATGGGATCAGCTACACGTCGTTCAAAAATTCGACTACCTGGGAAGTTGTATCAGCGCCCGTGGGATTGAATATGAGATCACGAATTGTATATCAAAAGCTCGGGGCCATTATCCTATACTTCCCCACTTATGGCGCCGGCGCGACATCACTTTCACCCTGAAGGGTTGAGTGTACAATGCAGCAGTGCGTTCTACCCTACTGTACGGTTGTGAAACCTGGCCGCTTAAATCAGCGGACCTGAAGATGCTAGTTACGTTCGACCACCGGTGCCTACGTTATATACCTCACATTTAATGGGAACACCGCGTGAGCAACGAGCGTGTTCGACGCCTTGTATATGGTACAGGAACAGGAAATGAACCGCTCAGCACCGTTATTTCACGCAACATGCTCCGACGGCTCGGCCACGTGTTACGCATGTCAGCCCACCGACCTCCGCGACGTGTGTTTTTTGAGCGCCGAAGGTGTGGATGGAAGAAGAGGAGGGGTGGCCAAGCGATGACTTGGTCTAGGGGAATGAAGGCCCTTACTTCTGAGCTGGCATGGGTGGGAGCGTCTCGCCTCCCTGGTTGGGGTCCAAAACACGATGAGCATGTTTGGTTGGACAAACTTGCAGATATGGCTAGAAGCCGACCTCAGTGGCGTTCGTGCTGTGAGTTTCTTTGTCCCATTTCATCCCTCTTAGCCTCCCCCTACAACCACGATCTCATTATTTCGCCTTATATAATTTTGCATATTAATTTTTTTGGTGCACAGCATCCGGCTGGTAGCTTACCGGAACGATGCCCATCCGTTACCGGTAGCTAAGCCAGCTTGCACCAGTTGCTTTTTATTTCTCCTTCTTTCTATGTACTGAGACACGGTAGCTGGGGTGTTCTCCACCTCTAGCTAACGTGTATGATGATGATGATTCAGGATGGCCCGGAGTTTTACCCGGAGCTCATTGCCAGTTTCTTAGTGTCCGCATCCAACCGGAATATGCCGCGAGCATCTATAAGTTCCGGAGACTCTGAAGAGATCCAATGTTCATGTTGGAGATTAGAAATACCACATGCGGAGTGTCCTGCTGCTAGTAAGGTCTGGTGAATAGGAGACCAGTGCGCTTCAGTTGCATCAAGTGGGCGTTTATCCAGCTCGCATGACAGTTTACGTTGATAGGCATCCAGGAAAGCTTGCTTGGTAAGTTTGCTGGTCTCAATGCGGTCACAACCTCGTCGTGGCTGTCTGCCAAACCGCATCGGCAGGTCAGCACATACTAGTGATAGGTCAGTACCTACACATGCGCTCCAAATGGAGCGACGGTTCTGAAAGCAGCCTCTCCATCGGTAACTTATCACAATGTGATCGAGTTGCGTCCATAGCTGGTTCGAAGCTGGTGGGCGCCAAGTCACCATCCGATGGGTGCTGTGTCGGAAAATAGTGCTCGCAACACATATGCGAGTGTCCTCACATAAATAATGTAACGGCTTACCGTTATCATTTCAGGAGCCTACACCATGTTGGCCTCCCAGATGCAGCCCATCAGTGTATAATTTTCCACTTTAAGCCTTCAGAGCGCCAGCCAGCCCTACGATATCCGAGCTCCTTTTAAGGCTATGGAGCTGGCTCAGTTGACGATAGAAGTCGTTTTTAACCGAGTCATTGCTCGAGTTTGTCGGTGCCAAGGCAACGATAACGAATAGTCACCTGTTAGCCACACGCGAATGCCAAGCTTTGAACGCGTCAACCAATCGGACCGCACGCATCCGGCTACTGATTTGAATCCAATCAACAAGATAAGCTTTTTCCCGGGGACTCAGGGCAATACTAACACCGGCATGGCCGGTGCTCGAAGCTGCATCATCACCGTATAGAGCACTGAGAATTTGCTGCTAGTATCACATGAAGGGGCTCGCAGAGTGAGCATAGAGCTCGAGTCTTGTAGGCGGGTCTCCGATAAGCAGTAGATATCGATCGTGGGGGCCTTTTTATACTCGGGCAAGTGTTACCTGTTGACCGACCTGAAGCAATGTAGGAACATTGAGGCTTGCCAACCCGAAGTAGGATCGAGGGCTCCAAATGGAAGCCGATGGACTAAGCTTGACCGGTTGCTTGGACTTGGGCTGGTTTACAGGGCATGAGTGACGCTACGCGTTCCCAAATCATTTGAAACTAAAAGACAAGAGACTATTGAAGCAAGTTGGGGGAGGGCCGGCAATAGGATGTTCAAAACAGGTGGGATATACATGAAGCTGTAACGGGACCATGAGAGTGAAGAAGCGTGAGAAGGGGAATGAGAAGACTGGAAGGATTGTGCAATAGCGTGCAAATCCCCATCGACCCTGCCAGATGCAGCAGATGGGGCACCGTAAAATATCCTCTGCGGTGACCAGAGCATCAATACTTTCGTTGAAGAGAGATTAATTGTATTATGTGGGTAGGCTAATGTTAGGTTGCCCAGACCAATCAGGAAAAAGAGTAGGGTTCTCAATCAAAGCATTTCGTTCGAAAACCCTTCCGAAATGCGGCGAGTTTGGCATTGGGCTGCAAGGAATCAGATTCAAGGAATAATTATTCACCCACATTCCATCCCCCAACCTGAAGGATCAAGAGTCTGAGTTTGTTTGGCCTCTAACCATTGACCAATCTGGTAAGATTGGCTTTAAAGGTGCAAGAATGCACCATTCAGCATAGCTCAATGAAGCACTGAGGCACACAAACGGTTGCACCGCGGTAAAGTCCAGCCGAATTTCGATGGATAATGTAGCTGGTTCACTTTGGATTGGCTTTTATCCGTGCTCATGTTAAAAGCGTTATTTTCTTCCATTAAGCCACCACTTAATAGACCGTTTTGACACAGCATTTAAACAGCCTTCGAACAAATCATGAGTGAAATCTTAGTGTTGTATTTCTGCCGAGTTGCCGTACTGGCAAGATAGATTACGTAGGTCGTAAAGAGTCAATTAGACCATTAAAAGATAGCCTCGTAATTTGCGATATCGCTTGCTTAATACATACAATTGTTTCAGCGTCTGTTCTTAGGGGATATTTCGCATTCAGATGGCGTAACTAGAGACCCGACCTTAAGACCGCTTCAGTGCTTCTAGGTTGTGTTCTGGAAAAGGATGCCAATATTGAATGGCATATTCGACATGGCGGCGAGGTTACACACTGAGCATCTGTTAAATGTAGTGATTTTAGATTGTCTGAACCCCCGCCGCGATAGCCCGACTTGTTGGTTGCCAGGCTTCGAACGGGTTTCGGGTTGCATGGAGTAACCTAAGTAGCCTGAAGATACACATACGTATCATATTCGACCGAAGCTAACGGGAACATATGCGTTCCGAGCCTGTATATTTGGCTGATCAGGTATCGTGTGGAGAGTATCTTGAATGAACTGAGACTAAAAGGCAGTAGATTTTTGTTGACTACCGGTGTTCCGTGTCTACTTTGAGGCGGCTGCTAGTCAGCATTCGTCTGAAGTAAGCGCCTAAACTTGAGGTCGGCGGCAAATAGTAGGCAGTTAAAGCACTTGCTTTTGGGAGCTCATTAATCTACACCAACAACAGGCGCGGACCTAGAACTGAGCCTTGCTACACACGAAACTAGAATCGTATGAAGTCGGATATTATGCCTCGAAAGCTGACCATTACTAGTCGTTGAAGGAGAACGTTGATTAAAATTATATTATAAGAGGGTCCCCAATATTGGAGCTTGTGAACGGGTATTCCATGATTTAGACAATCGAAGGCCTACGAAAAATGCAGATAGACTACGTATGTGTCTTCCCCAGCGTCAACTGATACAGTCTAACTATTTAGAAGAATAACCAAGTTATTTGCGAATAATTACCGTTGGGAGTAATTTTATTATTAATTTAGGTAACGATGAATTCCTTGACGATGAACAGTATAGGAAGAGGAAACACTTGAGGTAATTTGAAGATTCATGTCCGTTTCCACTTATATAAGTTGGAGTCGTTTTGCCAAGCTTCCTTATAACCGAAACTTCTTAATGTTGTATACAGCGCTGAGAATACTGATCTAAACTTTCTGTTGCTTGTCTTGCTGCAGCTCCTAGTGCTTCTGTACAAATGGAATGGACACTCGTTGTGCAGCAGTTGCGCAGAAAAATCAGCTTCTGCAAAACAGCCTTGGTGATAATTGTGATGCTATTGAGTCTTGGTGGCGTGACGACAAGGGTTGATAGATTACTCAATGGGAAGACCCTATGAACCTTGAGGTATATTGTACCCGCAACGCCTTTGATGCTTCTCTAGCCTTTCCTGTTAGGCCATCCGCTATTATGAGTAGCAAAATTCCTTGCCTCATCTTCCGTCAGTCATTAATATACTTGCATTCCCGTATGGGGTTAGCTCCGAAGTCATTTGCGGCACCCGTTGCGATGCGTTTTGGCTTTTCATGACTACTTGTGTGCAGTGGTTTCCTGGTGATATGTATTTTTCCAAAGTTTTTTAGTGTTGCGGCTACACGATACACCCGCTCTGCCGGTTCACCTACTGATAACCATTTTCAAATTATAAATAAATAAATAAATATTTTATTCCTCGACATTGCAAAACACAGACAAATTGAGTGGTCTTATCAAAATGTACAACTTGACTGCATAATATATTTAACTTTGCGTGTTTTCTTCAATGGTTCCTAAATGGGTTTTGAGGTGATTAGCAGCTTGAAATTAATGGAGAGATTTATAAGCTAGGAACAATAATAAATGTAGATTTCACGGAAAGTTCATGTCAAGTAATAGGGTCATTCATGTTCCTAACAAAAGAAGGTGATTGAGATCGCTTCTAAACTCTGTTCGCTGAAGTATCTTTAATCAGCAGACTGAATCTTTTAACGAAATCGTACCAAGTGACTTCCGAGTGTATTTAGGCAACCAACAACCAGGTGTTGGCGTTGAGTAGCTAAAGTAATCGATCATAAGTTTTGAAGGTTTTCGCACGGTGTACGAGCTCCTGCAGATTAGCGTTGAATCTCTCGCCGATCTTGGCAGTAGTATCTAAACCACGTATGTTGAAATCAAACAAGATTAGGAGTTGAGCGCAGCTTCACGTTATGATGTGTCTCAAAGTAGCCGCAAGGTGACGATCAGTTTCTGGAGTCAAGTTAGAGGGCCGTACACTAAGGCAAAAAGTCAAGGGTCTCTCTCGGGAACATCAAACCTAGACCATCAATGGCATCACACTGTAAGTCTGTTTGATAATACATAATTAATCATTCTCCTTCTGTTGATTTAGCGGTACAAATAGCGACGTAACCGTGAGCGAATCTTCAGGGTACGTCATTCCCCTAGGCAACGAGGTCCAGTGATACTGATGATATCAAAGGACGCAATAACTTGTCGATGTTTCAGTCCAGCCGGCTTATTAAAACGATCCTAAGCATTCGGACACAAGCAGGCTAGTTTCTCAGTCTCTAGGATTCCCCACATGGTTAATAGGTGTCGGGCTTCGGAGCAGGTAGACCGATGTGCGGTCGGCTGTTCCTCCTTTATTGATGGGAATATTATGACTTGTCTGTAACTGTATACCGCCATGCGGCTTCAGAGCCGAGGAAATGAGCATCCAAGTAAGACTCCTTTATCATCGCCGTTACGATTGCAGTTTTAGATGCATTGGTAACTGGTCTTTGCAAAGCGCCTGTAGTGTCTAACCAAAGTTCAGTTGGAAGAGTTTTCTGTTTTATCGGCCATCGATACAAAGCATCCGTTCGTGTTTGCTATGACGGAACCACAACTTTTAGGATTTTATTGGTCATTCTCGATGATATATTGACTTTCCAACCCTTGAGCCATAGCGCCGTGACATTATCCAAAGAAAGAGTTTCCTTACTGAACCGCTGTTTCTAAAATCGTGTTTTACGGCCTCTCAGCGATCTTTGGAATGAAGTTCTGGAATGCTATAGATAAATATTATGTTTAAGCAATCTTGCCTGTTATATACATTTTCGAAGCCTCTTTTCGATTTCCAAAGATTCAAGGTACATCAACACGGATGTACATGCCCAAGGATTTGTGTTTAACACACTTGCAGAGAGTAACAGGTTTGCTAAATCCGTGGACCATACTAAGGTTTTTCTTATATATCTGGGTTTTCTATTATGTACAAAATTCTTGTGACGAGTAACCCGTATTAGTTTTATTGGTGTGCCGTTGAACTTCATCAAAATGCACGAGGAGTTCCATTGGTCTTTACCGTCCGACAATTTACTAAGCAAAGTGATTGCAGTAGACT